AAATTAATAAAATTATAACTAAAACCGTTTCATTTCAAGTTAAAATTAATTTTTAAAAAATATAAGTCGGTTAAAACCGGACGGTAAGTTTAATTTTAATAAAAAGCGTTAATTCGGAAATAAAAAAACGTTAAAAAAAATTAACTAAAAAAATATCGATAAATAATAAAAAAATAAAAAAATATATTAATATTATAATTAAAATAATTATTAAATCCTAGCTTATTTTATTAAAAAAAATATTAATGATAAAAAATTATTTTTATTTTTAGAAAAAATTTTAACTATTAAAAAACCGTAAAAAAACGATATTAAAAAATTATTTTTCTTAAATAAAAAAATGAAAATTAACGTGGCTTTTAAAAATATAATATAATTCTGGATCATGGAAATTAATAATTTTAATTTAAATTTTTAATAAGTTTTAATAATTTATTTTATTAAAATTTATAGCTTTATTAAAATAAATTTATACGAACCGTAATTATTAAAAAATTAAATAATAAAATTAATTTAAAATTAAAAAAAAAAAAACCTTATAAGTTAAAAACGGGTTAAAAACTTATTATAATTATAACGTTTATATATAATTATAAGGAATATAAAATTAAAATATTATTAAATATAAATAATTTTATTTTTTTAATATTTTTATTTAAAATAAAAAAATGGAAATTATTTATTATTAAAAAAATTATCCTAAAAATAATAATAATTTTTAATAATATGTTTATATTTAATGCGGGTAAATATTTTTTAAAATTTATTATATTATAATATTAAAAGGATTATTTTTTACGAGTTAACTTTAAATTAAATAACCTTAATAATAAAGTAAATATTATTTTTTTTTATTAATAAATGGAAATTTATAAATTAATATATTTCTTTATTAATTTTATAAAAATAAGGTTTATTTTTAAGTATTATTAAAAAAATTATATTAATTTAATTTTTTAAAAAATATAAAAAATTATAATAATATACGATATTAAAATAAAAGAAACTTTAAAATTTATATTTAAAAAATTTTATGAATTTATGTATATTATAATTAAAGAAGTAAAATATTAATTCTTAAATTATTAATTTTAGGATTATTTAATTAATTTAATAAAAAAAAAATATTTTTATAAAAACTTTTTTATGTTATAAATGAAAAAAAATTTAATGTTTTAAAACTTTAATTAAAAAAAATGTTTAATATAAAACGAATTAAAAGGTTAATTTCTTTTTACGAAATATTTATAATATTTATTAATAAATTAAATTTAAAAAATTTATTTTAATTAATTATTAATTATTAAAAGTTGAATAATATTATTATATTTATTTATTATTTTATTTTTTTTATTATTAAATTTTAAACCTGGTTTTAAATTATTAAATGATATATTAAAATTAATTTAAAGTTTAAATTTTATTTTATATAAATTAAAAAAAATAACGAATGAAAAACGGTATTTCGATGTAAATATAATTTATTTAAATATTTTATAATGTTTTTCGAATTTATTAATATATTTATAATTTTTTAAGTTATAATAAATAATATTTTTAAAGATTTTATTAATGCAGGGTTATTTATTTATTTTAATAATTTTTTAATTTATATTAACATTATTAAAAAATATAATATATTTATAAAAGAAATATTAAAAAAACTTTCGGAATATTATTTTATTATAAGTTTAAAGAAATTTTTTTAGCGAATATAAAAAGTAAAATTTTTTAAATATATTATTAATATTAATAACATTTTAATAACGTAAAATAAAATTAAATACATTAAGAATTAATAAGTTTTAAAATCTTTAAAAGAATTTTAATAATTTATAAATTTTACGAACTTTTACCGTTGTTTTATTAAGGATTTTTTTAAAATAATGCGGTTTATTATTAAAGTAAATAAAAGTAATAAATAAGATTAAAAATAAATTAAAAAAATAAATAAAATGTTTAAAACTTTTAAATATTATTTTATTTAAGTTTTAATTATAATATATTTTAATTTTACGAGATAAATATATATAAAAATAAATATTTTTAATTATATTTTTAATATAATATTTTTTTAAAAAAATAATAATAAAAAATTATAACCTGTTATTTTTTATTTTTAAAAGTTTATACTTATGGAAATAAATTATAAAATTTACGATAAAAAATTTTTAATAATAATAAATATTTTTAATAAATAATATTAATATTTAAAAAAAGTTAAACACCGTATTAAAGTTTATTTAAATTATTAAAACTTGTTATATTTTATTATTACGAAAGTTTTAAACTAATATTAAATACGTTAAATATAAAAACTTTTATTATATTAATTCATTATAAATTACCGATTAAGTAAATAAAATAAAAAAGTTAATATTTTATTAAAATTATTATAATATTATTTTAAAAAAAAGGGAGTTAAAAATTAATTTATTAAAGTGGTTTTATAGGAAAAATATTTTTTATATTTATAAAAATTATTTTTTTTTTATTCCTTGCCGTTTTTATAATTTCGGTAAAATTTTATAATATATTAACTTTTAAATAATTTAGAAAATTTATTAATTAATTTAAAAAAATAACCTAATAAAACTTAAAATATATTTTATAACTTAGGAAATTTTTTAAAGATATAAAAATTATTAATAAAATTTTATATAAAAAAAATTACTTTTAAATTTTAATAAATTTTTAAAAAAAAATTATTTCTTTAAAATATAATATTTTCATAGCTAAATATATAAGTATAAATAAAATTTTTAAGTTAATTATTTAAAACTTTTAATAATTAAATATTAAATTTATTATTAAAAATTATATATAAAAATATTTAAAATATTAATAAAATAAAATTTAACGTTATATTTTTTTTAAATTATTATAATTTATAAAATTATATTATATTTTTTAATAAGTTATAATTATAAATTTTATTATAAACTTATTATTATTAAATAATTATAATTTTATATAAATAATAATAAATATTTTTATAAAAATGGTATATTTTATTTTTTTTAAAAAAAGGGAAAAAAAAATTAAAAATTTAATATAAATTTTTATTAAATAATATTAAAAATTATATAACATTTCTTTTAATATAATTTTTAATTAAAACTTTAAGTTTATTACTTATTTATAAAAAAACTTTTTTAAATTAATAAATATTAAATTTTATATAAATATAATTTTTCATTTATAAATTAATAATTAAATTAAACGGTTTAATTAAACTTTTAAAGTTTATTTCCAAGTTTTTATTAATTATAAAATAAATAATTAAGAAAATTTATTCGTTATTATTAAATTTATTTATAATAATATTTTTTTAATTTTATTTAATTTTATTCCTTTTATGTAAATTATAATTATTATTTAATAATTTATAACTTATTAAATAAAATATTTTAAAACTTAAAAAATAAATTATATATTTATTAAATAATTTAAGTGTATAAATAAGTTAAAAAACGATTAAAAAATAATTATTAATGTATAAAAAAATAAACCGATAAACGATATTAAAAAATTTTTATATATAAATAAAGTTAATTAATTATATTAAATATTAAAAATATTAAAACTAAATGCTTCGTTAAAAAATTAAATAAAAAAATGTTTAATTTTTTTAAAATTTAAAAAATAATTTCTTTTATCGTTATTAAAGTTATTTTATTTATAAATTAAAAAATTTATAATTTATTTTATATTTCATTTATTAAACTTTATTACATTAATAATTAAAAAATACTTAACTTTAATTAAGTTTTATAAAAAATAAATTTAATAAAGTTTAAAAATTATTAAATAAATAAAATAAAAGATTTTATTAAAATTTAAAATAAAATAAAATATTTAATTAAATAAAAAAATTAAATAATTAAAAAATATTAAATTTAAAAATTATATAAATATATAATTAATAAAAGTACGCGTAAAGTAATTAAAGTATTCCATTGGTTATATTTTAATAAACTTTAAAACAAATAAACTTTAATTTAACGTTTAAAAATAAATTTTAAAAAAAAAAAAATTAATATTATATAACAATAAATATCATGTTTTTAACATATATAAAAATATAAGATTATTAAATTAAAATAATTAATTTATTAATTATTAAAAATGGTTATTAAGTTACCATATATATGCAAGATTAATTAATAAAATGTTTATAAACGTTTAAAGCGCTAAAGCTTAAATTTTAGGCATAATAGATTAAACTCAAATAATTAAGACAATCCCCTTTCGAAAAAGAGGAGAGGATCAAAGACCTAAGACCCCTAAAGAATTATTACATGAATTAAACCTATGTTCCAAGCTTATTCCCCTTGTCACATAAAAAGCCGCTGCACTTGTGGTAGTTTCATGGACTCAACTTATTAGCTTACATTACCGTTACCTTCACCGTTGACGCCTGAAGAATATTTCACATCGCCCCTTAGAAACCCCCAAGTGGCAACTGCTTGTGATGTTATGCCAACGGTTTCTCGTCGTTTCATTCATGTTACATACGACGACTTGCCAAGATCGAGGGGTGATGGAAGCATGACCTACAAGATACATTATACTATGAGTTTAATACGCTCGTACGATCGATAAGGACTCAGATTATAGCCTCAGTCGACTATGATAAGCTTTCTAGGTAGGTAGTCGTAAATTCATAGGGAACACTGTTATTACAAGTACTTTGATATTAGGAGTAATATTAGTACTTATGCACCATACCTATTCACAGACCGAGTTCAGCAATGGCTGATACGATTATGATAAAAAAAGAAATACCACCTCGGTGGAGTCTTATGTTAGGTCGACGCTCAATTATCACCAGTATAATACAGCTTCAGAATATCCTATCAGTTGATTCAGCACTGGGTCAATTGCCTCGCCATCTTGGTACCTAGTAGATAAACAGGTACAAAGTAAGTTGTAATCAGTCCTACTGTATACGAATAGGTAGGTCCTACGCGCTGGCTATACGAAGCTATAAGTGGCGGCTCGATGGAAAGAAATTTCGGATTGTTTAATCGCCACTAGGTATAAGGGATGTTGAATGATGTGATCGATTTGCTAAGGTCGCGCATCTAACAACACTAGTAACATTTGTTTCCTTGGATTTTGTTTAAGCCTTAAGCAAGATTGTCATGTCCACACTATCTATCAGCCATAGTGCCACCTACGCAACTCCCTCCGTATCCGCAATTCTGAAAACGTATTTTACAGCATGTGCTTTGCCAGCTTTCAGATCCTCTAATGCTTTCTTAATGCCCCCTAGGCCCCCGGGTACAACCTCCTGGGGTTGTGCTTTGAACCATCCTTCCTGCAGAGCACGAGTGATGTATCTAAAGTAGATAAAGCCGAAGTCCTTTTCAGTTGTGTGGATATTTCCCACGAGAACTACGGAATTCGAGATACGAGGAGGAAATTCGTAGTTATCTGGGGGCAAAACCCCTGTTATCTTAGCTCCTTCGTCGAGGACCTTGCTGACGGTAGCGTAGCTGTTGTGCTCCGACGTGGCATCAAAAGCATATAGGAGTTTAAGTCCTGCTGAGGCTTTCTTAAGACCTTCGACAACGGCGTCGTCCCCGTCACGGTAGTCGATGACGACGTCTCCCTTGGTACGATCGATCAACGTCTCTACGTAGGGCCGAGACTTTCCAGCTATGCAGATGAGGGGATGGATGTTGCTCTTTCGGGCGAACTGGACGGCGTAGGCGCCAACGGCCGAGGATGCGCCATGGATAACAAGTGCCATAGACTCGGTTGCCGGTGTCCACGGCTGCGGGAGACCGAGATGGCCATACAGCCCAACTACTGCCGTCATAGCAGCTAACGGGATAGCTGCGGCCTCTGATAGATTTGTTAGCATATATCTACTCTCCTGCGTCACATGATAGTCGTGGCCAACTCAAACCTTCGAATGTCGTCTTCGGCGGGATATGGAAAGTGGCATGCTGCCATGCGATGGCATACTCGGCGTAGGATCCGTGTGGTTGCAGAACCTGGTGAAATGCGCCAACGCGATCCCCAGGTTTAAATTCTATCACATTTTCGCCAACCTCTTGCACCACGCCAGCAATGTCATCACCCGCATTGCCGGTGACATTGCGCAATTCTGCTAATTTCCAGTCTTTAGGGTTGGATCCGCTCACAACGACCTGTTAGGGCTTCTTAGTACTAGAAATAGGGACATCAGATACGCATCTTGTAGATATATAGGTACCTTTATAAGGACCTGGTCGGCGTTAGGCTTCGGAATAGGCGAGTCGACGATCTCGACTTTTAAGCCTAGGTAATGTCAATGTTGCCTAAGGGACGAGCTCTGGTTGTTGAGCACGCACCTTTAGATACAATAGCTTCCTTCATTATGATATCAAGGACTCTTCCGTTCCAGTTAGTGGTATTCTATAGTTTTATTCTTACTTACTACCGACTTGTGCAGGTAGATGTCTAGATGGATTTGTAAGTTTTCAGGGACAAATTCATATAGAGTTGCGAAGCCGGCAGGGTCGGATAATATTGTGGGCTGAGCAGTTCCGTTAGAAATGGTATTACCGTAAGTGATATCAGCGGGCGGGGCTCGAGGTTGCATTATTTGGAGATGTAACATGTACTGATTGTTTATTAATTATCACGACATGTAGTCCTCCCTTCTCATTGGAGAGGTCAAGCCGGAGATACTCAAATGAATTACTGTGTTTATATAGCTCCTACCGGCGCACGCTATTATATATCCCTGGTGGGTAACTAGGTAGGTACGGATTAGAATCATACCGGTTGTCTACAGTAGCAGCACTCGTAAACGTCAGATTTGGTAGAGAGGGCGTAAAATAGTTGCTCGATATCATTTCTCAAAATCATATTAAAGATTGCTTCATAGCTCGGCCCCTTTTCACGTCAATTTCAGGTAGCACTATACTTCTAATACTATATCACGAGACCTGACCCTTCATCATTTATCAAGCCAAAATCAGTATAAGATGGATACCCTCCTTTTTATTTTTATTTTTTTCAAAAGTGCCGCAGGCGCCTTATCGTCGAAGGGGGAATAGTACCATTCATCCCACAACCCGCTTCGACACAAGATGAAACGGTGTGGATGTACCTGATCTTGCCTGACTCTATCCTAAATAAATGGCTGTAGAAGAGGAGTTAACAGTTGTTCCTTCAAGAAATTTACTCGATTATTGCGGGGGATCTTCAGATGGACATTCTATCAACTGGACCAGAAAATGTGGTGGAGTAGCGAGGGAGGCTGAAAAAGGACAATGTGAATTCTGGATATATCTATCTTACCTATCAGGCATCGGCTTCTGACCTTGCGATCGGTCAAGCCCAGGGAAGCCAAGGAATATGTCGACGACACCCAGGGTCTCGTCCACGACGAAGCGGCGATCAGTGACTACCAGGGTCGAAGGTAGGCCTGCAAGCGTGCAAGAATCGCCAGTCATGTTCAGCGGAGCGGTAGATGCGCCCCCTTCCAGCCGCGAGCAGGGAACACCGAAAGGGACGACTACGCTCTCGTTCTTGAACCGCTCAAAATAAGAATTACCGGCTGATTTGATCACCTCTCGACTGTCTCTCTTTTCCTCAGGGATAGGATCCCAGTTTTCCAGCGAATCCCAATAGAGATCTAGAGTGCCGGAGTATGCTGTGTTAGTATTTCGTAATATGATTCTAGAATACTTATGCAGGATCTCGAAGATGCGGAATTGTTTCACTCACTGCCATACCGTTAGAGACCTGATATATACCTAGGAACGTGGAATGGAAATTTGGAGATCGTTCGGAAAACTAAGTGATAAATCTCGTTACAAGTTTTGATACATACCAACCTGTCGCGTTGAAAGCCCAGTCTCCGGCGTCAGTAACAATCGATTCCATCAATGAAATTTCATTATCACTGTTGAATAGTATGCGCGTGCCGATGACATACTGATGAGGGTTCGTTGCAGCGATGATCTCGGTGAATGTTGCACAGTTGACTGTATCGTGGATGCTTCGATTATGATCTATCTTAATAGATTCTGCCAAAACACCTTCTGGGATGGCCTTAGGAACTTCGTTTTCGGTGTAAGTGACATTAGGTGCTGCTAGTGCAACTACGTCGTTGGCGGTTCCGGCAGCCTGTGCCGTGACATACTTGTCGGTAGCACCTATGAGAAATTCTCTTGTGCACTCAGCTGAAGCCGATGTAGAAAATAGTAGCCACCCCAACAACAAAAAGATAGTCATGCTTGAACTATCTCCACCGACAATGCCTTGGGAGATATGTAATATGAACGGTCTTCTAGTATGTACTCGTCAAGAGGAAAGGGTATCAGAAGAGTCGAGGGCACCTATTAGGTAAAAATGAGGAAGGTCGACTAATATTTACCCGGACGTTCTCATGAACAAATCAATATGAACCATACTTTGCCACAGGGAACCTTCACCCACGCGGCACAACCGAAACAGCCTGTTATGCCCCCGTCAGATTGCCATGCCATTCTAGGTAAGTTACTGAGATCTAGCCGGTTCAAAATAGGTCGAATCAGCAATGAAAGCTATAAATTACGGCGGGAGCCATCAACACCATATAATTATGCCTCTTTAAGCTTGAGTTGATCCTTATCGGCAATTAAGGAATTGGGATGTTAATGAGGTTGAAATTATATGCTCAACACAATATGAGGGGCTGGCGGAACTGAACCCAGCCTGGGTAGGTATATATGAATCATTTAATGTTTTATTTCCTGGTCTGGAAGGTAGCGTCTCCGTACTCGACGACGATATTCATAGGTGAGAGTGACTTACCTGTTGAGTTAAAGAGAAAGAAAAGATTACTAGCCTGGTAGATACATGGCATGGTAATCTAGATGTAGGTGAAATGCGCCGTTGAGATTCCGTGACTGGTTTCCTTGACATAATGACACATACTTGGCTCCTGACGTTATCCTCGATAACGCGAAAGTCGGGACCCCTTATTGGATAAATCAGCCGACCAGATTATGGGGTAGTTGAATGGATGTGTGTCTGCTTAGGGGCTAAGGCTTAGCATGCCATAGGGAGCGTATCACCTCTAGTCTCATAGGATGGAGTGATATCCGGGACAGAAGTGATGGTCGAAAATGTGCACCAAACTAAAACAAGGCTACGAAGTCGTGGCGTACTTAGGGAGACAATTGCAGGTTTTTGATGTCGTGATATACAGATCCGCATCCATTCAGAGATACGACGATGCTACCGTGAACAGGATATCCGCAGCTCGAAAAATTAATATACATCTCCATCAATTTTAAAGATGGAATACAGTGAGGGTCGTATGTAGAGGCACATGAGAAGCATTGTACATATAGGCCGTTACTAGTTCCTATTCCGAGAAGAGCAGTATCGGAAATGGCGAAGTGACTCCTCAAGCACATTATCCTAAGGAATGCAGAAGTCAATCCAGCTGCCCAGGTAATCAAGCCGATTGCGACTGCTGTCCTGGATTTCATGCTCCCGGTATATCTCCTCGAACTCCTTATAGCTCAGTCTCCCCCAACCGCCCCTTTCTCTTGCTTCCTGTTCTGCGAGGTTGAGTCGCTTCCATGTCACGAGCGTAGAGTGTGGTATCTCGGCTGACGGCTCAGGTTCGAGGATTTTCGTCTCGGCAACCCGAGCGTTTTCGGGTAGTCCAGAGCCATTAATGGGCATTTTGCCTTTAGGCTTGGCTTCAGCCGCTCGAGAGGTGGGTCCGTTAGGTGAGGTCCGCTGGACGCTATTGGGACGATTCTGGGGCAGGGTAGGATCACGATGATCTGATGACTCCGAAGAAGTTTCGGCGTCCTCCAGGGCGGCCCCCTCTTCAAAAATAGGCAGTGCCTTGTCGTCGTCGCTTGGTGTTTCCGCAGTTAGATGTTCCGACTCGGGAGAACGAATTGTGTAACCGCTAGTCGAAAGCAATTCAGGTAAGCTCTGGTCCGAGATAGGATGGCTCCGGTCCGAATCGTGCGTCTGATGCTCAGGCTCGTGGGGCGGCCGATTTTCGGAATCATCGTCTTCATCTTCGAGGTTGACGGTATCTATGAGTTTATGGTGCTTTTCGCGCAGTTTCTTGGTTTCTGCGGCCTGGACGGCGAGGTCCTCTTTCTTTTTGAAGATCTCGTCTAGCAGCTCGTTAAATGCTTGCTGCGTTATTTGATAAAGTATTTCCTTCCCCGCGTCTCGCTCCGCGTCTGGGATCTCCATCCCACCCCATCTCTCCGGTACGCTTCGAGAAGAGGTGGATGGGTTGGAGCGAGTCTCATAATCATCCGCGTCTTCAGCGAACCGTACCTTGGAAGATGATCTCGACCGCGGAGAGAGAAAGTGAGGCGCCGACTTGGATGATTCACCGATACCGTTCAAATTTAGCAGCACATCCTGGTTCTCGTCCCATCCCTGTGGGGGTAAGGCGCCTTCTTCCTCGTCTAGATAGAATTGGCGTCGCTTCCATCTTTCAAGCAGCTGTCTTCTTGCAAGCACCCTCTTTCGCTTGTCGGCGCCTAATCTGTGGTTGTGACTGTTCGCAACTATAGCCTGATGCTGCACCCTAAGCTGGCTCTCTGTTGGTAACGTATTGGTGAATCTGCTTGCATCCGGAATAGCCCGAGTAGAGGATGAGCCCGTGGCCTCGTCCACCGCATTGCTCTCAGGCTGTCCGGTCTCGTCAACTTCGTCAATCCCCTCATCTTCGGGTTCGCTCTGCCCGTCTTCGTCTGAGGAGCCTGTCTCAGCATCCTCGCCTAGAGAACGTTCTTCATGGCGGATGGACTCGAGGATGTCGTCAAGCTGCGTATAATCACCGACGAGCAATGTTGCTAGGTCAACAGTGTTGTGTGGTGGGTTTATTATCCCTGGCCAGTAGCGAGTATCTCCGTTAGGGGACTGGGGCCTCCTTGAGGAAGACCCAAATGATTCGGTGAAGAAACCCGGGCTATTGTGTCGAGCGAACAGGCTGCTGAGGATCTCCTCGCGGCCGGACGTATCTAGCTTATCTTCGTTGACGACTCCTTTACCATCATTGACTTCCACATCTCCGTTTGATCGAAATATCTTGCCTTCCATCGGCCTCGAATGATCAGCTGCGGGGACCCTACCCTCCCTGCCGAACAAACTGCTCAGGGGCTGTCTGCCATTGATGAGTTGCTGCGCTTCAGTAGTCGTCATCATGTGGTCGTCGAGACCTTCGAGGATGTCCTTGTGCATCTGTTTGTAAAGGACGTAATAGGCCCGGAACATTCGCAAAAAGTCCCGTCGGCTCACATAGCCATCACCGTCGATATCGTAGCCATCAAATGTCATTTTAAGCTTATCTTTTCGTTTCCTGTAAGAAACACCATGTAGGAACTCCTCGAATCCGATTAGATCGTCATGGTTAGTATCATAAAACGCAAACATGCGGTCATGGATTAGGTTAGGCGCTGCATGTCGGTAGCCACCAGACGGAACGAGGCAGCGCTCGAACGTTTTGCGGTCCATCGCCAAGCCAAGCCCGTCAGGATCATCCCTCCACTCGGTGTTGGCCATGAAAGTCCACTGCTCCCAGAAAGCATCAAGCTCGACGCGTTCGAAGCCTGTATCGTGGGACCACTTAGAGAGGAGATATCGTGGCAGGTTACGTATCGAGTTGTCGGGATCACCTGGATACCAAGACGGCTGTACATGCCGGGTTCCAAAAGGCGGAGCGGGTACTTTGACTTTATAGAAGACATGGGTCTTGTTGTGTAGGCCTTGAGATTCGCAGACTTCGCATAGATCAAAGTCGGCGCAGTTGGCGCATCGATATCGAATACCGCGTATGGGCACCATACCGCAGCCATTGCACTGGCAGCCACGGTGCACATAGGCATTGCGCCTCGCGTTATCCTCAGATACTCGGAACAGGAGGGTTACTATGTTCTCGCCAGTGCGCTGGCGCGGGGCTTGGCCGCTGTCGTTGTACCATTCATCCGGGTTCTGGTCATCGGGATGAGAGTGAGATTCTGGATTAGGAACGGAAGTGGTTGTCTCGGCATTTTCATCACCATGGGAATCGGACTCGGAGGAATCGTCGCGACGCTGAGAGGACCGACGAGGTCGTCTCAGGGCATTTCGGCGGTGCAAACCGGGACCAGTAGAAGCGAGATCGAGATCGGATTCGGAACCGTTATTGTTGTACTGGACATGGTAATAATAATAGCCTAAGGACACTGTTGTGACGGCAGAAACTACAGCGATGGCTATGCGCGGTCGGGTCAAGGCTGAAGCGATTGGAGAAGAGGACAAATGCGCCATGATGAATGGGCAACATTCATGGCGGATAAACGACGTAAATGCTCTTAGGGTGATGAAAAGATGAGGAATAACTCAGAGAAGGAGTGGTAGACGATCATGGCGCATTGCAGAGCATTTCCGTGAGGGCCTACCGAAATTACCTTGTTTCTTCTATTTTGCCCTTTGTTTGGTGGACGAAAATAAGTTGGTGATGGTGATGATATAGTAGGTACTACTAGGTAGGTAGTGATAAATTGATATGCAAATGCGTCCAACCTGGAACCTAAAAGCGGGTACCTATCTGATTACTTAAGCTAGTGGTGCTAGCGGGTGCCCACAATATTGCATTCAGCTGATGTCACCGTAAGATGTGGGTACATTCAATATTGCCCATCCTATCGCATAGGGATTTAACTATTACGATGATAATGTCAACAACTTACAGAATCATCCAGATTCCATACCTATGCAAATATTTCACTTTTCACGATTTTCTATCAAGAAGCAAAACAAAGATAGATCTCTAAAGGTCTAGTTTCAAAATCTACCTAATAGAATAGAGGATCACCACTAACACAAAACGTTCTTCAAACCAAAGTCTACTTCCAATATATATCCCATCTCCTCCTACGATATTCAACATTTCTTTAGATATATATATACCTATTTCTCAACCGGGAAGGTGAAGCTGTCAGGTCCAACATAGGCCTCTATCGCACCGTTCGGGTTAGGTTGTTGGTTCTGCCAAGCGATCTCCTTCGCCAGGATGGTATGCTTGCCATGGGCGACGACGCCCGGCGATACTTCGCGCCACTTTAGTAACAGTTAGTGGCTGATTTCTTAAGAGAACCTGAATGATTCAAGGCCAATCTCGGACGCGGCAGCTCTTAATCAAGTTTGACAAGGAAATCCGGCAAAGGGACCAAAGGAACATGATGTTACGTACAATTTCCAAATCGGCACCGGAGTCGGCCGTTCGGGTCAGGCTGAAGGACGTCGCCGAATCGGCGCACGGAGTCTTTTCGATATTAGGAAACTTTTGATAAGTAGGCGTGCTTATAACGCATTTCGCTTCGCCTTTGCCGTCCAACGAAACACTGAGGCTAGCGCTTCAAGAGGGTTAGCCACAATTAGGTTCATTCATTAAGACCGAGTGATGATTGAACGTTGACTCACTGTCCAACTGACGAATGTGGTGTAGCTCCAGCAGAGAATCCAGTAACAGAGAACTGAGAGGCAGTGCCTTGCGCGTGCGCGAGGCCAGCGGCGACGACGACGCTAACAAATGATGCACCTGACAGCTTCATCTTGAATATTCGGAGGTCTTTGTATGGTTTAAAGCGCTTAACACGGCGAAGAGAGACTTAGGCTATCGATGAGATTCGAAGCAAGTGGTGTCGTCCTCATAATGTGAGTCTTTCTAGGTCTATATAATTCTAATAAGACCCATTATTATAAATCCCGACCTATGGGTTAATAGAACAACGGAAAAAGGGAAGGTCAAGAAATAACTTTTCGACTCCTATTCCCGGTGATCAGCACTTCGGTCGAGCTCGTGTAAATCAATAAATCTATTCAAAAGGTCCTAGTGGAGAAGTAACCGACCGCCCATTTCCCAGAACGACGAGACTCCCCTTTATACGTGCCCTACATTGGCTTACCCGCCTAGCCATGTGAGGAACGGTTAGTCAATATCATCAGAACGATTCACACATAGATGTTTTTCTTACTCATCTTCGTTTATCCATGCATTTCGTCGCGTAAATTCACCGCGTTTACTGGAGGTTGGTAGACGATCAGTACTAAACTCGTGCCAAGTACACCGCCCAGGCTAAGAACATTATAGATGACACCTTCTCCCCCGGATTATTTAATTAAAATTATCCAAGCATCTCGGTTTAGATATATTTTGGGTTGCCACCAGACTACAACTCCATCAAAAATTATCACTTTACTACCAACAGTCCCCAGGGTCCACTCAACTTTACTAAAAGCCTGGTTTTGGTTGGTTAGATTTCTTGTTACCCACCTGAAAATCGTTTGCCTATTACCATATATACCCGTTTTGCGAAGAATGTAGTCTTGTGTTAACTGAAGAGATACCCATTGACCTTCCATCTGGTTGGTGTGATTTACTTTAATAAAATATAATATTATACCATCGATAATGTTGAGAGAGATAGTGCCTTGCTAGATAGATAGTATACAAGCCGAGTGTATAAATGTAACCCAGGAGTGTGACCACGGTGCCAAGTCGCAGACTTATCATGTAAATACCAAAACAAGTCTAGGTCATTGAACATAGTAGTAACGAATCTTCAAGATTGGGAGCTGGTCAACGTCCTTGAGGTGGAAACGAAAACGGGGTTAAACTAAATCTCACCAGCTCTCTTTGCGACCTTTGACTATTTAAATCAATAATTAGATGAGTTACATGGTCTGTCTCATTTTCGTTTATATCGCCGGTTCTATTACCATCTATATTACCTAATCGACGTGAAAGAACACGCTTAAAGAATACGATAAGTTGTTCTCGAGGATATACGGTAAAAACTCTTATGAAAGACAAAGCATAACAATAATGTGTGGGTGTTTAGAAAAGGTTATATAAAGTACTAAGGTACAAGTCCAGTATCCATTGTGCCGGTAAAGCCTTAGGAATAACCAGCTCTAGGTGAGCAGTGAGGATGCGGTAACGGGAAGCTTGCGTTAGCGCTTCGGGATCTAAAATTAGGCCACCCCCGGGCCACCCCACGATATTCGATCTACTTTAGCGGGAGTTGGTAGGGCTAAACAAGGCCTGTGCAAGGCTGTATAAAGTCTTGTATAAGGCTTGTAGTGTCATTACTTTTACAGGGTTTAATTTTTAAAAATAAAGTTTTAAATTTATTATATTTTTATATAAATTTTATATAAAGTAATTAATATTTATAAAATTTTTAAAATTTATAAATTTTTTTATTAAATTATTTATTAAATATATTATATTATTTATTATAATTATATATTATATTTTATTTTTATTTATTATAATAATATATTTAATATATTATAAATTTTAAATTTATTTATTATAATATTTTATAAATTTATTATATTTTTATTATAAACCGTTATAATAATATATTATAATTCCGATTTTAATATTTATAATTTATCGTTTATTTAAATATTTAATTAATATTATTACCGATTTTTTATTATTTATTTATTAATAATTATTTTTTATTATTTATTTATTTTTTACGTGTTTATTTTTTACGTGTTATTTTTTCCGTATATTTCATGTTATTTTTATTTAATAAAAACGTTAAAACCGTATTAATTAATATAAAATTATTTAAACGAAATATTTTTTTCGTATAAAAATAAATATATTATTTATTTATTTAAAATTAATAATTAAAAATAAATATTAATACGTTAAACATTTAATCGTTTTAAGGAAGTTTTTATATAAATATAATAATATTAAAAATAAAATATAACGTGTAAATATAAAAACTTTATTTTAATAAATATTTAATAAATTTTATTTTTATTAATTAATTTTAATATTAATTATATATTTTTAATAAAAATTATATATATTTATATTTAATATTTATTATATAATTTTATACATTTATTAAATTAATTTTATTATATTCGAATATATAATTATTTAATATATTTAATATATTATTATAATCGCGGGTTAAATTTTTATAATTTAAATAATATATTAAAATATTATATTTAATATTATAAATTATTTAAATATATATTTTATATAATTTTTATAAGTTATTTTTATTTAAATTAAAAAAATTAAAAACTTTTTATTAATCGGTTATTATAATAATTATAAATGTATAATTATTATAATAAAGTATTTTAATATTTAATATTAAAATTATTTTATTTTTTAATTTATTTAAATTTTAATATTATTATTTAACTTAATAATATATAACTTTTTTTATTTAATAAAATTAATATTTATTATAATAAAACAATTATTAAAATAATAAACTTTATAAAAACTTAATATTTTATTTTTTTCGTTTTATATTTTCATAAAAATAAAAATAACGAAAATATATTATTTCTTATTATATTTATAAATAAATATTTAATTTATAAAACCTAGCTTAATTTCGTCGTTAAATTAAATATATTAATTTTTTAAAAAAATATATTAATATATATTATTATATAAATAAATAAAAATTAACTTTTAATTTAATATTATTAAAAATAATAACTAAGAAAATAACATTATTAAATATTATAATAATAATAAATAAATAATATTTAATAATTTATATTAATATTATATTTCGAACTATATCCGGGCATTATAAAAACCAAATCCGAATTTAAATTAAAATAAATTATTAAATATATTATTTCGTTTATTATAAGTTAACATTTAATTAATATAAAATTCATTTAATTAATAAATTAATTTTAATATTTATAACAAGTTATTATAATTTATATTAATATTAAATAAACTTTAATATAAATTAATATTATATTTCTTAATATTAAATTAACCGTTAAATTATTACCGAATTAATATTTAATATTAAATAAACTTTAATTTTAAACGAATATTATTAAATATTAAAAAACATTATTAAATTTAAGCGAAATATTAAATTTAATTTATTAAACGTTATTAAATAATATTTTTTAAACATTAAATAAATATATTTAAATATTAAATAAATATCCCCGGTATTAAATAAATATTTTTAATAAATATATACTTTTAAATATTAAATAAATATTAAATATAAAAATAAATACCTTTATATTAAGTAAATATTAAACATAAAAATAAATACTTTTAAATATTAAATAAATATTAAACATATATTTTTAAATATCGGATAAATACATTTAAATATTAAATAAATATATTTAAATATTAAATAAATATTTTTAAACGTTAAATGGGTACCGTTAAATTTTAAAGTAAAATATTATTATTTAAATTTAAAATATAATTTAATTTTCCACCTTTTAATTAATATTATTAAATAACGTATATACACGTTATATTATAAATAATATAAAACGAAAACTTATAAATAATAATATTAACTTTTAAATTATAATTAATATAAAAAAAAAACTTATTAAAATATTAATAAAAAAAAATATTAATTATTTTATTTTTATAATTATTTTCTTTTTAAATTATAACTTTAATTTCGCTTTATTTTTATTTAAATAAAAAGAATTAATTAAATTATTTAATAAATTAAAATTATTATATATTTTATTAATTTTTTATATACTTTTATATATTTTTAATTATAATTATTAAAGTTATTATAATTTATTATTTAATAATATAAAATTAATTTTAATATATAATTTTTAATATTATTATTATTAAATTTATAATAATTTATTATAATTTAAAATTAATATAAACTTACTTTATTTAAATTATAATTTAATTTTATATTTATTATAAACTTTATCCGGTAAAAATTATTTAAATAAAATTAACTTATACGTTTATATATTTATTATTAAAAAATTAATAAAAAATATTAAATATATATTATTAATAAAATATTAATAAAATAAAATAATAAAGTTAATGTTAAATGAAATTATATAAATATAAACGTTATATATTTATTTATTAAAAAATTTAAATTTAATAATATATTATAAATTATTATCGAATATATAAATTTTAAATTAATTATATTCCTTAATATATATTTTTTATAATATTAATTTAAAAAGTTTTATTATAATATTATACCGTATTAATAAAATACGGTTATTATTAATTATATAAACGACATTTTTAAAATAAATTTAATTAATAATAATTATTTAATAATGTTAATAATTTCCAATATTAACATTTAATTTAAAATTTATTTTTTAATTAAATATGTTTTAAAGTTTAATATAAAATAATATAATATTAAAAAAAATTAAACATTTATTATATAACGCTTAAACGTAAATTATTAACTTTAAATCGTTATAAAAAAAAACATTTTATAAAATAAATTAAATTATAATTTATAAATTAATTTTAATTAATAATAATTTTTTAATATTAAAATAATTAATTTTATATATTTTTAATTTAAATTATTTATATAATATATTAATATATAATTTAAATTTAAATTTATAACGTATTAATATTAATTTTTATTTAATAAAATATTTATATTTATTAATAATATATATTCTTTTATAATTATAAAATAATAAATATTTATATAAATATTAAATTTAATTTAATTATAAAAGTATTAAATTATATGTTTTAAAATAAAATTAAAAGTTAAGTTTTTAATATTAAATATAAATATATTTATAAGATTTTATTTAATAATAAAATTTAAAATAAATAATAATTTTATTAAAATAAACGGTAATATAAACGGTATTATCATTTATTTTTAACCCCGTCCGCCCCGTCCGTTATAACCGTAATTATAACCGTAATTATAATCATAACCACGTTATAATATAAACGTATAATTATTAAAATAATTATACATATAAAAATTATTAATAATAAATTACAATGTAAATTAATAAAATTATTAATATA